GACAGGTGGGGCGAGTCCACTACATTAGAAGGGGTGATAGGTGGGGTCTCGTAATTATCCCAATTTGGTTCAGAGAACAGACTCTGAAGAAATTGTTCTGTTATACCCTCAGAAATCAATTTTTTGGCCAATTTCAGTCGTATCCATTTACAAAAAAACTTACTTGATTTAAGCTTACATCAGAATCATCCCACCTTTTCATTATTACGATCAAATATCAAATTAAGTATTTATACTAAGAATAGGCCGCCAAATTAAAACAATTCACGATAGCAAAAGACAAGCCCGTCAAAATGGGACCATCCCTATATAAGAATATATAGGAAAATTATATCCAAACGAATTAGCTCCATATGCTAAATCTTATGTGAAATTTTTAAAAACCAGGATTGTAAATTTATATAAATTTGAACTATAAAATGTAGGTTGTTGGAAAGCATTTTAGATATTTTATTTCAGTGCGCTAAAACAGCTTGGAGGGGTTATTTAAAAAATACTGGTCATTTTGCAATTATTTCAAATTTAGGTACCACAGAAAACCGTCAACCACAAAAACATTGACATTATTTACAGATCAAATTGAATTTGAAAGTCCTCAAACACTAAAAAACTCATTTTCCATTATGATTACTACTACAATAATTTCATTTTCCATTATGATTACTATTACAATAATTTCATATCAAAGTGAAAAATAAAACGCCAAATTACAAAAGTTATATTTATTGAATTTTCACATAATAGATGTACGAAGGAGCGTGGGTTCCTGTGTGTGAAACAAAGGCTAGACTTCAGGCGGATGCTGTGCAGAATCTCGTTGAGCTCCTGGAAAGATAAAATAATGTTTACAAAGTTGAACTAAACAGACATATAAATGAGACATATAAATGAGACATAGAGAGCACATATAAATGGAATGGTGTGCACGTTTATTAACTAGTCTGATGTTCAGGTTCAGCTAGCGCAAAACTAAAATTATTATCTGAAATTAGTTAATGATATAACTATTTGAGGCCTCTTGTTAAAAAAGTAACGTTGATAGCACAACCCGTTTTATTTGCAGGGTGGTTGAGGTTATTGCTACGACCGTTAATACATTCCTCTTGATATTAAAAGTTATAACACGTGTTGTGGTACATTTACAAATTCTTTTCGAAAATTATGAAACCCTTGGATCAGAAGCTCAGAAGGGTGACAAGCATCATTCATTTAATTAATTTGGGTGGTAATAATTACATTTAAACACACACGATATTTTAAATTAGGTCAAAATATTCAAAATTAATTGTCAAGACCGGGGCACACACAATGTTCAAACAGAGGGTTACAAAGTGCAGAGGATTCCAAGCAAACTTGGGTTATCATTAAAAGTCAGATGAAGGCAACGTTTATCCTGAACATTTGGAGTCCTTTTATCCTGAACATTTGGAGTCCTAATATAACGCACTGTAAGCAATGATTTCTACCATTCTGAGTGACATACAAGTAACAATGAAAATATAGTAATAGGATTCATGTCATAAATATTTGTCGTAAATATTTTTCTCATTCTTCTGCGCCCTTAGTATTTAATGGCTGTGGTTGATGAAAAAATAGTGATACTCACAAACATACATTTGCTTCCACGCCTTATAAATGTTCAACCTTCTGACTGCACCACAGATACTGTTGCGTCTACACCCGACTCTGTCTAACTGCCAAGTGAGCATTCGGGAAGACAGCTCGCACTACGATGAACAACTTGTTGTTATGCAAATAACAACAGGTATACCTCATTTTAGGTGAGAGGTCGTTACTGAAACTGTTCGCGAAAGTTCAGTAATAAACCCTGTGCGATACCTTCATATGCTCAAAGTCGTGCAAATAGGGCCTATTCGATGTCACATACGATACTCTACAAGGCCAAAAGTGTCTAACTGCATGGGCCTACTTCACATGTAGCCCAGGTGTAACAGGAATGGGAGTACGCTAGAAACCGTAATCCGCTTCCCATTACTTTGTACCGGTGTCATTCGTCCCGAATCCTCCAATTAACCCTAACCTGTAGCCTACTAATCATATGGGAGCCCGGACTTCCATTCCTGTTACACCTGTTTCCCTATGTGAAAATTATTCTGAAAAATCAGCAATGGGTGTCTTTATTTACACACGCACACACACCAAAATAATAATAATAATAATAATAATAATAATAATAATAATAATAAAATAAAATAAAATAAAATAAAATAAAATAAATCGATGAGGTCTACTGCCATGCTACGTAGGCCTACGATACATTTTGCTAATTCATGGAATCAGGGCCGGCTTTCACGAAACGTTTCGCAATTTGCGCAATTGCGCAAAGTCCCTTTTTGCGAACAGACCCTTTCACGAACGTTTCGCAATGTAATTTTGCGCAAAATATTGCGCTATTTGCGCAAGATATTTGGTAAAGGTCGGACCCTGTCGCTAAGACTTTTCGCAAGCGTACTTTGGCGTTCGCGTAGCTTTTCTTGTCGTCCGAAACGAAAATAGGCGAATTTACATGTACCCGGTGTACGTAATTACCGTCTACAACCGAGCACAACCGACCACTACCGTCCACATGCACTAATTACCGTCCACACAACAGTCCACAAGCAATAAATACCGTCCACAAGCGTCCTCCCATATGAAAGAAGTGTAAAATCAGATAATAGTTAGAAATGTAACATAAGATGGTGCTTTATTGGAAAAAAAAAACGTAATGAACGCGGGTCTGTAGACGTTTTCAAGACGGTGAACCAGACTCGATTGTCTCATTTGTTGCAATGAAAACCACGTAAAACGATGTTTACTATTGTATACTAGTCTTCCAAAATGAAAAAAAGGGGAAAAAAACGTTCATAAGTATACAGTAAACATCGATATAGCCAGGTTGCCTTTAGATTCAACAAGCGTTCAACGGTACAGCCGAGCGTGCGGAGAATGCACTGAATGCAGTTATTTCAATAAATAAAGTTTATATAACTATCAGTCATTTTTGCCTATCAAAATCCATGGTTTTACCCTACTCCGTTTTTAGAATAATTGAATGAAGGACGACCATCGCCCCCTTGGTGTGGGGTTTGGGGCCTGCTCAAGGGCCCCGAAAATTTTTTGGTTTTCTGGAGAGCAAGTGCCCTTTGGTACGGTTTAGAACTATATGATTTAGCAAGGAGTTTCAATGGATTTAAAGCTAGTCAAAATTCTAATTTCAAGAGGGGAATATTGGTGTGATATATTTTTCAGAAACCGAAGGGGGATCAGAACCCCCCTGACCCCCCTCTAAATCCGCCACTGGTCATTATAATATATATCACGTATGATCAACGCAAGTGCAATGAACGATACAATACAATACAATACAATAAATTTTATTTCATGTCGGTTATAAATTGAATGGAAACATTAGCTTTACAGCTATTCTCCGACTGTGTAAGGACAAAAACATATCTACAATAATGCAATATTACACATGAAGTCTAGTAAGAGAGTAAAAAAAAAAAGAAAACCTACAAAGAGTATACAAAAACAAGAAATCTATTAAGAAAACAAATTAGAAAAAAGTTTTTTATGGGAAATGTGCAGAATGCTATAGGCTACCTAAATCAACTGTGAGAAACAGACAATTTTACATACAATGCTCAATGATACAGTTATATAAAACAATGTAAACATGACGTACATTGTTTTATATAACTGTATCATTGAGCCCGTACGGGAACTACGGTAAATGTAGGCCCATCTAGGCTACGATAACGCCTCGGTCTACGGACTTATGATTTTCAAATTTTGCCAAAGTTGACTAGCTGATTTATAGTAGGCCCTACTAAACCGTAGGCCTACCAAATGACACCGTGCGCCCTCTAAAATACCAAAAAATTTTCGGGGCTGCTCATCGGGCCCCAAACCCCACGCCAACCGGGGGAGGGGGTTGGGCTTCGCATCCGCGCCCCCCCCCCCTCCCCTTCAGTTAATCCTAGATCCGCCCCTGCAACGTGGACTTCAATTTAATGCTTGACAAATATTATAATATATATATACTAATATTATAGTGGTTTCGTAGTCAAAAATGTCAGTTAACTATCACAAAGTTAGTCCAACTACTGCTGCTAACATGCCCTGGACCCATAATGTTTGATTTAATATGTGTACTCCTGGGATATAGATTGACCAGTTATTTATGGAGGACTTTGGGAAGACTCCTCAGGAGATGTTCAAGGAGTTTGATCCAGAGGCCATTGCAGCAGCCAGTCTTGCTCAGGTCCATAAAGCAGTCACACATGAGGGCGACACAGTGGCAGTTAAGGTTAGTAGTCAATGAAATTTGAAACTCTTAAGTCTGTGCTAAATTAAGCTTCATTTACTTAACATATTTGCTGCATGGAGACAAAAAGTATCATGTTACAAACAGTTAATTGTCATTGTTCAAGGTACCGTATATAGACATATTAACAGCTTACTGTATAGAGGCAAAAGAGTTCAGTTTGCGAACTTTTTTAAGTTAAATGAAAAAGATCATTAAATTTAAAGCAGTTTTATCATGGAATTCAAATTATCTTAATAGCTGTGTGACAATTTCAATAAAAGATGAGCTTCATTAATATTATGTCATTTCTCCAGGTTCAGTATATAGACCTAAGAGACAGGTTTGCAGGAGATATCAGGACTTGTGAGATTTTATTGGATATAGTAGGATGGATGCATCCCAAATTTGCCTTCAAGTGGGTTTTGCAGGTAAGTCAGATTACGTATGTACTTTCTTTAATTAGATATAAATACTGCTACCATGTTGCTTTGTAAAATGTGTTTTTTTTTTTAATTAACCAAAAACAAACAAAAAATTTTTTTCAAATATTTGACAATGTGTAAACCAATTTCTGGAAGATTAATGTAACAGTAAGCATCTCTTTGTTCTCATGCATATACATCCGTCCCCAAATATTAAAAAAAAAAGTTATACATAAAGGCTGGTTTCACCTTACAGTATAAAAATCTCTTGACTGAATATTTATATTTTAGTCATTTTATTAAGAAAAAAAAAACAATATTCCAGGACTTAAAAGGTACACTTGCCAAAGAACTGGACTTTGAAAATGAGGGATGGAACAGTGAGAGATGTGCTCAAGACTTGCGTCACCTTCACTATATCTATGTACCCAAAGTTGATTGGGATAAAACAACTAAGGTATCACTGTAACAGTTATATATATATATATATATATATATATATATATATATATATATATATATATATATATATATATATATAATTTTTTTTAGTTTTTTAAGATAAGGCAATAAACTAGATCATTATCAATTTGTCAAAAATGTTATATTTGATTACTTTGAATCTGATTCAATGAAATAACTTGCCATAAGGATGTTAATTTAATCTGTTGTCTAGCCAGGGCTTGTGAAATAAAAGCTATCAGTTTAAAGATTTTATTTGTTAATTTATCATATTTTATCTGCCAGTAGCTGAAACCGGAATTGCGCTTGAATGCTGTCAGTTTTTTTCACCCATTGGTCTTACATTTCTATATAAATGATAAAAACTAAACTAATATTTTGTTTATCTGTTGAAGAAGTTGAAAAAAAAAAGGTAACTAATATTTTATTTATCTGTTGAAGAAGTTGAAAAAAAATGGTATTCATGTTTCTTTGCATTATGTTACCGGTAACTTTCTATATCCTCAGAGAGTTTTAACCACAGAGTTCATTGATGGCTGTAAAATAAGTAATATGCAAGCAATAAAGGATATGAACATCTCACTAAAAGATGTAAGTATAATATGAGTCCTAAAAATAAAACCTAGGTTTCTTGATGTGAAGTCATAATTTTTACCCAAGCATCCTGTCTGATAAATTTACTATATATTCAGGGCATGTTCTATTCCTTGTATTTTTCAGAGATAAGTGTACAATTATTTTGTAAGTGTATTCTTTTTGCTATTTCCCAACTGACTCATTAGACTATAGAAGAAAAGAAAGGGAATTCGATATTATGCTGAAAAATACTGGTTTTTAAGCAAAACCTTTATCTTTACACTTATTTACATACTTCACTAGTAACGTATCCCTAATTGGTGTAAGGACAACTTTCTCTGCCACTTTACAGGTCGACTACAAGCTAGTGCAGTGTTTTGCTGATCAAATCTTCCTCTCTGGTTTTGTACATGCGGACCCACATCCAGGAAACAGTAAGTGTGTGTGCATGCATATGTGTGAATGTGCATGTGCACACGCATGTTTGTGTGTGTTTTTGCATGCATGTGTGTTAGTGATCATGCATTTGTGAGGGCATTTATGTGTGCACATGTGGGTGGATGCATTTGTATGAAGAAAATGTATTTTCAAAGTTTTGGGAACAAGTGAAAGTGAATAAATGCATCCGAGTGCCAAGTGGATGAGAGAGAGAGAGAGAGAGAAAGAGAGAGAGAGAGAGTGGAAATTGGCGAATGTGTATGTGGATATCAAGGGGATATGTGGTAGCCAGAGCAGAGTTGGTACTATTGGACCCTGCACTATATAATACGTTTGCAAGTTTTCAGGATTATGCCTGATTTCACAATTTTCAGTCTTCATTTTGATAGTTTTTTCACATGATCTAAGTGCACTGAGAAATGGCAAACTACGTTTTCAGGATAATCAATTTTTACAATTTTCACCCATGCATTTGTTATTATTATATTTTAGTATTTATAAGGAAGGGTCGTGATGGCAAGGCAGAGCTGGTACTGTTGGACCATGGACTATATGAGTATCTGCATCCTAAGGACAGGGTAGCTCTCAGTCACCTCTACAAGGCTATAGTGCTCAAAGATGAAGAAAACATGAAGTATTACTCTGAGCAACTTTCAGTTAAAGGTATTTAACTTTTATATTTTCCACATATTTGGATCATAGTTTAAATTTAAACATACGTATCGTCTTTTTCATAAATTTTTTAAAGTTCTTCAAAGGAATTGTTTTAAATAAAGATAAGTGGTTTTATCAAGCCTAATTTGAATATGTATGGATGCATTCAAATGTTGGTCCCTGATCCAGCATCTACAGTAAGTGTTCTAGAGTATAACTGATCTTAGAGTATAATTTTGCCCCATAGTAAAACAGGCTTGATTTTACACATATACCATATGTCCCAGAGTAGTGGACCTAACTGATATACTCCCAGAGTACAGTGTAGTACTGGTTTAACTTGACACATAAACTCTGTCCCAGATTATTACTGGTTTGACTTAACAAGTATTCTCTATGCCTTAGAATATTACTGGTTTGACTTCACACATAAACTCTATGTCCCAGAGTATTACTGGTTTGACTTGACACATAAACTTTATGTCCCAGAGTATTACTGGTTTGACTTGACACATAAACTCTATGTCCCAGAGTATTACTGGTTTGACTTGACACATAAACTCTAATGTCCCAGAGTATTACTGGTTTGACTTGACACATAAACTCT